TTCTCACCCAGCCGCTCTGGGCAGCCAGGTCTTCACCAAACTGGAGGGGGACAGCATCTCCTTCGGCTGCGCCTTTGACCCGCCTCCAGGAAGCAGGTTCTTCACAAAGGGGGCGCCTGAGGGGGAGGTCCTGCTGGTGGGAGCCGGGAACGCCTCCGCCCAGAGAGGCCGGTTCATCCTGGGCCTGGATGGGGGAATCTTCTATGTGGGCATCACCCAGCTGAGGACGTCCGACTCGGGCCTATACAGCTGTGGGGTGGGGGACCCGGCCTCTCCAGACCTGCAGCGCCAGTTTGAGCTCAGAGTTACAGCCAGTGAGTCGCAAGCTTCTTCACCAGAGATCAGCGAACAGTCTGACCAGCCCAAGTCTGTACGGGCTCTAAGGGCCAGAGGCTCTAAGGGCCACTAATCTCTAATGGCCAGATTCTCTGAGGTCTTAAAGAGTCTCTGAGGGCCAGAATATCTAAGGACCAGTGTCTCTGTTTAATATTAAGATGTAATGTTATTAGATTAAAATCCAAATCAAATGTGAGGATATTACTCTCTGACATATGTGTAAAAGGCTTGAAATGTTATTTTTTTGGAAGTGAGAGAAAAGCAGAATCTGATCCTTTTGGTCAGTTACACCCCTTCCTCTACACCCACTACTGATTTCATCACAACTTCCTCGAACAGCAATGACAAACAAGATTCAGCAACCTTTTGAAAATAAATCAAGTTCAAATGAACTTCAACCTTTTTTATCTGAATGACTCCTTTCAAAACCATGAAGTCAGACAAATGGATCAAATTCAGTGGAGTCTTTCACCTGTCTTTGACCCTTCAGACCTTCAGACCTTCCTCTTTCAGTTGGGAGGGTTCAGGTAGGACATGGGCTGATGGGGTGCAACAGCTGGCTCTGGTCTGCTTCTGGGTCGCTGCACTGCAAAGGCCCCAATCGGCCGGCTGAATCGGTTTGAGTTGGTCTGAGGGTTTAAGGGCTCACTCAGCATCAGAACCAGAATGCTTTTTATGATCATTATACAGCACTACAACAGAATTACAGCCGACTCCAAACAGTGCAGAAATATTTAAATGAAAATTAGCAAAAACAATTATATATACAGTGGGAACATTATGAGATAAGGTGCACAGGCCTGAGTGTATGTACAGTCATAAATAAATAAATGTATGGATATAAATGTTGCACATTGTGGGGTAAAAACTTTAAATAATCCACATTGTAGGATAAAAACTGTAAATATTGCATATTGTAGGGTAAAAACTGTAAATACTGGCTGACCAGTGGAATTCTGTCCTCCTGGCAGAGTTGTGCGGCGCCCCCCCCCCAGAGGTCCTGGTCTGCAGTGAAGCTGAAGGCGGCGCCATCCGGGTCACCTGCTCCTTCCCCTCGGCCGATCTCTTTTCGCTGTTCTTCTGCAGAGGCCAGTGCAGGAAGGAGGACGTCCTGGTGGAAGCCGGTGGGCCCTCGGCTCAGAGGGGCCGGTTCGGGATCCAGTACGAGAGCAGGGGGGTGTTTCACGTCACCGTGTCCAACCTGACGGCGTCCGACGCAGACCTGTACAGATGTGGGGTGGACATCACGTCGGCGCCGAACCCCTGCAGCGCAGTGGAGATCCGAGTCACCGAAGGTGAGTCCCCATCCAGGGCGGTCTGGACCAGCAGGGCTCAGAAGGGGGCAGGCATCCCCCACTGAGCAGCAGAGGTTCCCAGACATTCTATTCTGGGCTGGACCCCTTTGGCTTCCAATGACTTTCATCACTGAGCTGATCCTCTGTGTCCTTTCACGTGTCATGAATGTGCTGAGAGGGTTTCAACTATCAATCATAGTTGAAACCAAGTCCATAGCCGAGGGAAGTATCGGACTTTAGTGACTGGACGGCCAAGTGTACAAGTGTCTCCAAAGGCTTTAAGGGCCCCAGTCTCGAAAGGCCAGAGTCTAGATTGCAGAGCCTACAAGAGCCAGAGTCTCTAAGGGCCCGAGTCTCTAAGGGCCCTACTGACACCAGACACACGAGACCAAAACATGACAAAGAACAGTACCAAGAACCCAGGAGTGAGAAAGAAGAAGATGAGTCGGGGGAGTTCCCCCTAAAGGTCTAAGTACCAGAAGTACCGCTGCTTGGTCATTAAAGCCGGGTTAAAGCTGAGAGTGCAGCTTTCCTGGGTGGGGGCTGCATGCTTCGGCCCCCCTCGGCTGGAGGCCTCTGCAGCTGATTGTTCTGCTGCTTTCTGACTGTTCATAGAAACACCAGAGCTGAACACGCTGGAGTTTGTGGTGGCTGA